CACACACACACACACACACACACACACCCCACTCTGCAATTAGGGCAACTCAGAGATAGCTTTCTTGGCTGGGGGGCCGGATGGCTTCTCCTGTTCTCTCGCTTTCTCCTCGTACATCAGGATCCTAGAAGAGACGGAACCGCAGGGGACCCGTCTCAGAGGGCCGCAGAGTGGAGTGCTGAGGTGGAAGCGGGGGTGGATGGTGGTGGAGACAGAGACGACGCGGCCAGGACTTGGGAAGAGTCCCGAGCAGGAGGCCGGTCGGGTTCTGAATAACGCAGCGAAGCTGGGGTTAGGGCCTGGGCGCCGGGGAGAAGAAAGTGCGGGCCGGAGCTCACATTTTCAGGATGGCAGATCGCTTGCCCAGCATCATTCTGAGAAAGTCGGGGTAGCTGAACGTCTCCCCAGAGCCACCAGACACCTCTCCAATTAATTTCTTTAGCTCGAGGTGGGTCTTGGGGACCCCAAGTTTCTCCAGCATTCTCTTCAGGGACATGATATCTGGAGGCAGAGGACAGTGGGGAAGAGAGGGGGCGCCTGTCTCCTCTCACCTCCACATTCCCGTCTGGAGCAGCCAGGAGAGCCCCCCATCACCCCTTTCTCACCGATGTCTCCGTTTCCGTTCAGGTCGAACTCCATGTATTTCCCTGAGCGAGGGGGGCAGGCGGGGTTAGCATGGGCTGCGGCTGGGGCAGGGTACGACAGGAGGGGCGGCCAAGCGGGGAGAAGTTGGAGGAGGGGCAGCAGAGGAAGTGAGGGGCTGTGGGTGCGGGGGGCCCTAGTGAAGTGGAGGGAACTGGGGGTGCCAAGAGGGGCAGCCAGGGGCAGGAGGGGGCGGGGAAGGCAGCTCCTGCCCCGCAAGCCCATTTGTTTCTGAGTTGCGCTGTGGACTCGCCCCCCGCCCCCCTGCCCGTTTCCCCTCACTCTTGAAGGCTTCCAGTTTGGAGGGCAGGTCCTCATCAGTGCTGTATTTGGGGTCCTCCAGGAATTGCTGTAGGTCGGGTGAGAGCCAGGGTGGGCCCAGCCGGCCCCGCCAGGACGCGTCCCCGTCCCCAGGCTGTGTGCCTCCTCTCCCTCGTTACCTGGTTGATCTCCTCTAGTCGCTCGTCCTGCTGGGCCTTCAGCAGTCCGAAAGCTTTTCCTCCTAAGGGCAGAGTGCAGTCAGCCCTCACCGGCCCGGGCCTCACCTGCCTGCCCTGGGGACCCTCCATCCGCCCTGCTGGCTCTTCAGGTCCTTGTCCTGTTCATTGTTCTGCTGTCCACTTCCCTACCCTGGAAATCCCTGGCTTGGCTCATAGCTCAGGAGATGCGGGTGGCCGTAGGGAGACACCAGGTCCCAGGTCTCAGCACTCTTCTGCTTCCCCTGTGCCCTCCAGTTTCCTCTGAGGCCTCCTCCAAACTTCCCCTTCCCTGCATTCCCGCCCTCTGCCTCAGGCCTCACTTCCCCAGCAGCTTCTGCTGACACCAGCACCCAGGAGGGAGGGGAGGGGCGTGAGGTCTGGAGGAGAACGTAGATTTCTTTTTTTTGAGATGAGGTCTCACTATGTTTCCCAGGCTAGCATCCAACTCCCAGGCTCCAGGGATCCTCCTGCTTCAGCCTCCTGAGTAGATGGAACTGCAGGCATGTGCCACTGCATCTAGCTCCTTGTAATTCCTCTCAATGAATCTGGTCTATTTACAGAAGAAATACAGTGTGGGGATCGCTACTGGCGGTGTCGGGAAGGCAGGGCAGTAAGAGCCAGTGCGTTTATTCTCAGGAACCACTACGCAGCCTTTGATTGGGTCCTGAGGCTCAGGCAACAAGAAAGCCTGGGCTTCACCGGGTTTCCTGAGTGTGAACGCAAGCATTGGGGGGGGTGGGGAGGTGGGCGTCCAGCAGGGCTGGCTGAACTTTCTGCCCCTCGAGGATGGGAGAAGATGCACTGGGCAGCAGTGGGGAGAAATGTCCTGTGGGCGCTGAAGGGGCATGCAGATGTCCAAGAAAGGATAGTAACTTGTGTGCTTTAAGAAGGACAAGCTCACCCTGTCCTCTTACCTGCTTTGACATCTTGAGTAAAATCATCAGAGCTCAGGAATCTGAGGATTTAAGGAAGATCTTTTTCTTTTTTTTTTTTTTTTTTGGTTTTTCTCCGGTACCGGGAACCGAACTCATGACCTTGCACTTGCCAGGCAGGCGCTTTGCCACTGAGCTAAATCCCCAGCCCCTTTTTCTTTTTTTTTGAGACAGGGTCTTGCTGTGTAGCACAGGCTGGCGTTGAACTCCCATGATCCTCCTGCCTCAGCCTCCCAAGCGCGGGGATTACAGAACTGGAAGCGGTACTGAGACAACAGTGAGGTTGACCTTGGGTGTGTGTGTGGGTGAGTGCACTTGCAGTGCGCTGGTCACTGTGGGCTCAGCCCAAGCAGCCTCTGACCAGTGCCCTCCCAGGCACAGCCTTAGCCCTTTGGCCACCCTGGCTCTTTGCTTGGGGGCAGCGAGCACAGAGGAGCCCCAGGAGGTGTCCTTGTTCCAGGCCCCTGCCCCGGGCACCCGACCCCTGCAGGCCCATTTCTCTGTCTGCAGCTCAAAGCTTTCACTTCTGCTCCCCTCTCCCTGACCTAGATGGTGGGGGACACTGGGGTGGACTCTGACTTCCTGACTTCCTTTTATAGCAGCCGCCCTCCCCTGCAGAGTGCAGCAGCCCGCCTCCCTGGTCAGTCCTGGGAGCAGTGTGCTCCTGTTTAGTCAGCAAATTCTCATTTTCGTTCCCTCTCCCTCTCTCTGTTTTTGAGGTTGAACACAGGGCCTTCACATGGAGCTACAGCCCAGAACCCTCATTCATCCCTTGCCAGGGTCTCACCAAATTGCTATATTGTCCAAGCTACTCTCAAACTTGGGATCCTCCTGCCTCAGCCTGTCCGGGTGCTTGGATTACAGGCCTGCGCCACTATATCTGGCCAACAACAAACAAACATTTCTTGAATGCTTACTCTAGGCCAGGAGTGCTGCTAGGCCTAATGAAACAAGTGAAAACTCTTGTCCTTATGGGAAGGCTCACTGGGGAAGAGAGACAATAAACATAAAGAAGTGCGTACAGGCGATAGGCACTGTGGAGGGCCATAAGGAGGGATGTCTGGCTTCGCGTGGGCTGCAGTTTTGCATAGGATGGTGGGGTGGGGTGGAGAGGTTCCTCTGAGAAAGTGATACTTGAGCAAAGATGTTAAGGAAGCCAGAGAACAAGCCATGTGGATATGTGGGTAAAAAGGAAAAATACACCGTTTGTCTGTCTTTCTTTCTTTCTTCCTTCCTTCCTTTCCTTTCTTTCCTTTCTTTCTTTCCTTCCTTTCCTTTCTTTCTTTCCTTCCTTTCCTTTCTTTCCTTTCCTTTCTTTCCTTTCTTTTTTCAGGGTCTCACTGGCCTTCAGCTCACTATGTGGCCCAGGCAGGCCTGAAATTTATGGCGATCCTCTGGCCTCAGCCTCCTGAGAGCTGGGTGTACAGACACGCGCCACCTCGCCCAGCTCACTTGTTTTGCTTTACCTCACGGCATTTCGTATGGGGATTCTCCTACACCAACCGCTTCCCACGGGTGTCCTATAATGTAATTCAGTTCTGACACTATCTACTGATCCCGCAGGTTCAAGGGCTCAGTCCCACAAGATGCCCGCACTTGAGAGGCCAACCCCAGCTCTGGGCCTCTTAGAATCCCGGCCAGTCAGCTGTAAGTCAGAGAGGCCGGGCCCCTCCCGGAGTCCAGTCATTTGCTGGTGGCTGGGGCGCTCGGGATGCTTGTGTTTACTGCTCCGTTGCAGAGGATGCCCTCAGCAGCAGCACGGACAAGAGATGCCCAGGGCCTGGTGCCGAGGTGAGGTGCAGAGCTCCCACACCCTCTCCGCCACTGCCCACCCGGCACCCGGTGTTCGCTGACCCGGCAGCTCTCTGAGCCCCTCCTCGTGGTGTGTGCAGAGGCCTCATCCTCTGGCGCCACGGACTCATTCATTCGCCCTTGGGTGGAGGCCAGGAGGTGAGGCTAAGGGACATACCCCCAATCATCTGGGGCTTTCCAGAAGTCACTTGGTTAACATGAACTCAGATGTGGTTGAAAGGGGCTTGGTGTGAATGACAAAGGGCCCTCTTTTCACCTTTGTCACTTAGGAAATCCCAAGGGCGTTAGGAGCTCTGCCGGGGGCGTGGAGGCAGCCGGCAAGGTCCTGTGTTATGGCTTTTTCTTAGATTACACTGTCATGATGGGGGCAGGGGGGGCAGCCAGGGCAAAGGCCCTGAGGGGAGAGCACAGCCGTCTGGGTAGTAGGTTGCTAAATTGCCCAGGCTGGGCTCGAACTTTCCATCCTCCTGTCTCAGTCTCAGAATGCCCGGTTGCGGGTATTGCCCACCACGCCCAGCCAGCTCCGGCTTTCATGCCCAGCGCACTGCCTCCTGGACTGGTCTTTCACCGAGTGCGGCGTGGCAGACTTCCGCGGTGCTCAGGAAAACTTCCTGGGATGGAGAAAGCGACGGCTGCTCGGGCTATGGGACTGAAGTGAAGACTGCGGCGATCTGGCCCACGCTGAGACCGTGGGGCGGCGGCTCCCAGGGGGCCTCTGGCCCGAGGGCCGCAAGGTGCACTGTGGGGCTGCAGCAAGGCAGCCACTGCGAACCTGGAAATGGGGAAAACCAGTCCTCTGGGACTCAGGCTGCAGGGCGCAGCTCCGGGCAGAGGTGTGCAGGACCTCCTCCCTGAGTGTGGCTTCCACCAGCCCCGAGCGGCACGCAGCAGACGTGCACAGGGATGGGCAAGACCAGACCCAGTAAATCAGAAGGCCCCCTGCGGGGGCCAACGAGAGACTTTTGATAAGCACCTCGGGGGTCTACGGTGCACACCCGGGTTTGAGGGCCACTGTCCTGAAGATGAGGGTGGCGCCTGCACTTCCAAGACTTGCCGGCCTGCGCTGGGAGTGCCCCATAGCTTGAGAGTGGGGCTGTGCCTCCCGTGGTGGCTCATGTGTGTAATCCCCACACTCTGGGAAGCTGAGTCAGGAGGATGGCAAGTTTGAGCCTCGCCTGGGTAACTTCTGGAAACCCTGTCTGAAAAAAAAAAAAAAAAAAAGAGCAGGTCCATGGGTCCTGGGGCTGCTCGGGCTTGGGCTAGGAAACAGGAAAAGGGGGACTGAGTCACCAGTGCCAGAGCTGTGTGTCCAGCCAAGTGTTCTTCCTCTCCTCTGGGAGAGGTTACCAAGCTGGTTCAAGCCTGGACCTGCTAGAACCCCAGGGATCAGCGCCCCTGGCCGAAGTGGCCTGTGTTGCTAGGGCCACCACTTCCCTTCCCCCGCTCTGTTCTTTGCCCTGGGAGACGGATGTGTGCGGATCACAGCAAAGGATCCCTGGCTTCCAGCTGGTCTATGCAGGTGGAGGGGCCTGGCAGGAAGACCGCAGCGGGGGACAGAGGGGCGGGTTAGACCTCCACAGGGACAGTCACTGCTCTCCAGCTACCTGAATGCACAGTGCCTCCTCCCAAGTTTCAGGGGCGGGAGGGGGTACTGAGATCAGGTGATCTGTGAATTTGGATGGAAATAAGTGTACAGCCTTGCCTGTAATCCCTGCCCTCAGGAAGGCTGAGGCAGGGAGATCACAAGTTCAGATACTATCTAGGGAACTAAGCAAAGTAGCAAGAGACCTCGTCTCAAAATAAAAAATGAAAAAGGGCTAGGGATACAGCTCAATGTGAAGGCCCGAGTAAAAGGGCTGGGGATATAGCTCAATGTGAAGGCCCGAGTTCAATCCTTAGTACCTAAAAAAAAAAAAAAAAAATCCTTTGCTCATGGCTGATGTTCCTGTCTTGCTTTGTCCAGGACTACTTTGCAGTTTAAAAATTCTTTCTTGAACCAAGCAAAGTCAGACTTTGTACTGATGTGTCTTTATTTATTAAAACTGGACTTTGGGGGCCAGGGATGTAGCTCAGTGGCACAGCACCTGCCTGACAAGCATGAGGCCCTAAGTTCAATTCCTGGTACAAAAAAAAAAAAACAAAACAAAACAAAAAAATGAACTTGACCTGCCCATATTTGAAATATATACTTTTATGTTTGAAATGTGTTCTTTTATGTTGGAAATGTGTTTTATGTAATATAACCATGAAAAAGTACATGATTTATTTTACCACAAGGTTTTGTTAATAGTCTGATAACTGGAAGCAATATGATGGGTTTATTTTGCTGTATCACTTACATTTTACGCTTTGCTGGAAGGCCACAGGGATGGGTGAAATGGGATAACTAGGACCCCTGCTGGAGCCGCCCTCCTTGGGCGCGGGTAGCTCGCTGCCACCCGCACACCTCTGTCCGTAAACTCCTCCAGCTGTCCTCATTCGTGGCCCTGAGGATGCAGCGCCGCCTGGGCGTGCGCGCAGCAGGTGCCGGGGCGGGAGGAAAGGGCTCCGCA